TGCATCCCATTTTGCTTGGCCTTGCTCATGCCTCCTTAGCATTTGCTTTCTGGGGACGTGTGAGTGATTGAAGGCGAAGGCCTGGCCCCATGCAGCTCTGCCATCTCCCTCGATGGAGTCAGTATTTCACCTGTGCTAGCAGTGACAGAGACAGAATGTTAGAGCCGCATGCACAGGCTTTCACAGAAATCAATTCTCACACACGGCATTAATATTGGAAATGCTTCTCTCTCTCCTAATTGTTGGCCAGGCACAGTAACCTGTGACTAATGGCCATTCATAGTTAAACAGCATGGCCTGATCATAAAAATTTGCCATTAGTCTCTAACAAAAAAAAATGTCAGGCTGTTAATTGACCAACATGTATTCCTGAGGAAATCAGCAATAATCACATGGATATTCAGTGCACAGGAAAGGAAGGTGCAGCTAGCCTGTGCATTGCTTTTATGATTCATCTGCTCTGATCTGCTTTTGATTATTTTTTCCTCATGTGAGGCAAGTATTTTAAATCAAATATTTGAGAAATAACCCTGTGCTTGAAGTGACCCAAATTAAAAGCCAGTTGCCACCTTTCTTCTCCTACTAGGCATCCATCCATTTGTGTGCAGGAACGGACGTATGTTAGAGGCTGTCAGTACAGCTGCAAGCAAACCACTGAGCTCATGGACTGCCTCTGCCAATGGCTAGTCAGCTACTGGAAAAAGTTACAAAACAGCTATTACAGCCAGGTATGATCCTGAAGGGCTCTCATTGAGAACTGGTGTACTTTGTTCATTTTTGTGCAGTTCAGTGAGACTCTGCCCCGGAAAACTGCTCCTCATTCTCAAAACAAGGACAGCAAGATGTGTTCAGGTCAGTTTGGGGGTTGGGATTTATTTTTTTTGGCCATTAAGTTTTTCTGTCATAAAATCTCTTATATGTTGACAAATGGGGGTCATTCCTGAAAATGGTCAGGACAGCTTGCCTATGTGGTAGATTTTCTTCTCCTCCCCTCCCCTTAAAGCATTACAGGAGCTTGGGCAATACTCTGTCTGGCTGACATGAAGGGCAGAGGCACCAGACTGGCAGAGGAGGATGCAGTGCCACCATTGCAACCCAAGAAATTCTCAACCCTTACCAAAACATGGGGACCCTCTGGCACCTCTGCTCTGGTCAGCAGCCTTCACTGTAGGACACAGGCTGGGATCTAGTTACCATTTTTAAGAGAAGAGCTCAGAAAAGTTATTAGTGACTATAGGAGAAAAGCAAGTGAGGAGGCCATAAATCAGGCCCTCAGATGAATTCAGAATGCACTAACAAAATCAGAGCTTCCAATAAATTTTATTTCAGGCAGAGTAGAAACTTTCTCATTTGAGAGTTTGGGACAGATTATCATTTCAGATGTGTGTCAGGCCAATGCAATATATCTATGACAATGTTTTCAAGCAGGCAGCAATGGCTGGACCAGAGTCAGGCCCTCACACCAGCTGAACTTTAGTAGTGTTGAATAAAAAAGTGAGAATCTCTACTGCTCTGAGCAAAGCTGAACCTAATTAAATATTTAATGTGTTTTTTTTTTTTTTCCTCCCAAATCCTTTGCTTTCTTGCTCTTTCATACTGTGATATGATGACATTTGAACAACAAATGCAGCCTTGGTACGTTGGTCTCCTGGTAGTGCTTTTTTATATGAAAAGCTTGCACATCCCAGCTGAAGTCCAGATGCTGCATTTATGAGGTATTTTGTCTTGATCAATTTTTAAAAAATATTATTCCACGCCATGAAATTAATAGGCACCTGGGGAAATACCAACCAACTCTTCCCTACTCCTGCAAATACTAACCTTTCCCAGATGGGAAGGTATTTCTCTTTCCCTTTATTTACCTGCAAGATGTCCTTGCTATAATGCTCAGAATCAGAGAGAGAAGGAAGCATTAAGAAGAAAATGCTATGGAACACACCAGCCACTAAACCCACTGCATTCTGAGGAGCCATTTACTGCATAAACCCTGCATAATCTTCCCAGGGTCACAGAGTGAGTCATTAGCAAGACAGCACTAAGACAGAGGCATCCTGATTTTTCTTACTACTGTGATTACTTTAAGACCCCAATTTAAAAGGCCATAGGTTTGTTCTGGCAGTGCAGTCATAGAGATAACTACTCACAGCTTTACAAATTGGTTTTCTCGCAGTCATCTCACTAGCACAGGCCTGCAGCCCTTTGGTGTTTTGTCTGTGTTCTGTTCAAAAGTATTTTTTTATACAAAACCCAAAGCAAGCCAGAGCTGAGTAGGAGCGTCTCCTCTGCCTTCCCATGCCTGCAGCTGCCCTGCCCCACATCCCACTGTGCTGGGACCTCCCCTTGCTGGGGACCCTGGACACATCAAGCACCCTTCATGTGCTCCTTTATCAGCTGTAACTTCGGATTGTTCTTCAAGAGAGACCTTAGGATGCTCCAAACCAACCGGCTGACCCAGGAAAGCATTGGAGGAGAAAATCTGTTGTTGCTGAACTTGTCCTTATTGCTGAAGTTCCCTTCCACAATGGGGCTTCTGTAGGTGCCTGATTTGGCATCATCATTGGCTACAAGCCATCTCTGTAAGTAAAGGGAGAGTTTTCTTGTACTTATTTTTCTGACTAATTAATTATTTGCATGGACTTCTGTGGTGTTTGCACGCACCATGCAGCCCAACAGAGTGTGTTGGCAGATGATGGTCTGGCTACACCCATCCAGCCACATCACTGGTTAAGGGAAGGCTGGTTCAATACAGACCAAACCACAGAAACCCAGAAAATGGTCACTCTACACATTTTAGATAAAGACATTTTGTGAACAAAAAGTATCCCAGGATTTGTGTTGCAGATGCACATTTATACATCACTAAAACAGCTGTTTTTAATTTTCTCACTATGACCTTTAATGCCTGGCTGAAGATGACTCAGGTGGGTGCAGCCCCTCCATGGAGGAAAAGCCTTTAGCCACACTGGCTGACATTGGTGTCAAAGGCATAGTTAATTTTAAAGTGGGAAACCAGCATAAGAGCCATACATGTTTAATGCTTCATTTCATATATGAAGACATCCAATGAAGAAAACCCCATACTAATAAAAAAATAGAAATTTTCTTTGGTACTAGGAAAATATATATTTAGCCATTACAGCTTTGAAACTTTTTAAGCACCGTATTTCTTTTTCCTTGAGAATTTTTCTTTTTTTTGTAAGATGCAACTAGGTACCATTGGAGTGTTATAACACGCACAGCAATTTCAAATGATTAATACCTTGACAGCATAATCTTATAAAAAATTGGTTTTATCCACCATCTAAAATCAACTTTTAATTAAAAGAATGTTAAAGTTGTTTTCTGATACTAAATTACCTTGATTATTTTAAAATTGTATGAGATGTTGACACATACTAAATATACAGTATCTATTTTACTGTTGGGATTTAACTATTTGCCTGAAAGGTGAGTTTCAATTATTAAGCATTAGTAAGTATTTAGGAATGTCCTGCTATGTGAGTCAGCAATTAATCTGGCCAGTAATTAGCTCTATCTTTTGTAATCTACTTTGTAAAATGAACACACTACCTTCTTTCAAAGCTGTACTGTATTTGCACACAAATGGTATTTTCTGACCTTAATAAGAAAGGTTTGCAGGAATTAGAGCCCAGCTGAAACCTGGCTGGAGCTCCAGGGATCAACTTCAGTGCCCGGCGTTGGTGCTGTGTGGGCAGCCCCGACTGTACCGAGCTCTGCCACCACGTGCTGGTTACTCTGATGTTCTGTATTTACCTCAGGAGGCTGAAAGTCACCGCCAGACCCTGCCTGTGCCCCAGGGACACACAGCTCAGTGTGGCTGAAGGAGGACACACAGGACCCTGGTGTGTGTCACCCCACCTCTGCGAGGCCGGGAGCGGCCGAGGGCTCCTCGCAGAGCTGCTGAAGGCCAGCAGAGACTCTCCCCACGGTAATCCCACAGCACACCCGCACTAATAATGAAATTACGCACTTGGTACATGGGAATATTTTATTTTGACTTTACATGCGGTGTTAAAAACCCAAAGAACGTATTATTTACACATCCACAATACAAGTTTACAAGATATCTATACATGTTAAAGTACTCTATAGTAATAGAGCAGCTTCATTTAAGGGTTACTTTTTTTATGCCGTACCATTAAAAAAGATACAATCTGCGTTTACCTTTGCACAAATGGATAAAGCATCTTTTATTATTAAATTAACAGAATAAGGACTAGGTTGAATGTTAGAAATTTCAACATAAATACTGAGAGAACTCACATTACCATCTACAAGGCAGCACAATGTTACAGGAGGTTATCAGGGTTCACATACATTTATCTTCCGGGTCACACAAGTCTGTATTAATATTTGTAAAGTGAATTCGGATCAGTTTGTGTCTTCTGACAACTGAGTACATTTTAATAGTTATTAATCTGTAGTGTTTTAGTTGCAAGACAGAAGTGTTTAGGAAGAAAGATCATTGATTTTTGGATCCAGAGGTCTCGGGAAATAAATGTCCCTTACAGCCTTACAAGAAAAAAATGACTACTTCTATCCTTTATTCTTTGTTCTGTAACAGAGATCCAGTTTTTAGTGACTAACCTTTTCTCCCCTTTGAACACATAATATAAATCTCCACCGTCATTGAAACCCATTGCAGTTATTTGTCCCACTAATTCATGAATATTCCTCTGCCATGGTTATTTCTATAGTTATGTTCAATAAACAATGTGGTAGTGTGTAGTTTGCAAGCTAAAATAGCCATCTGTGTTGAACATCAGCTGCAAGTGGATACTGTAAACCCTACTAAATAGCTTACACAACTTTAGCAGGTGTTCCATTACCCTAGAAACCTCATTTGATTTCACATTATAACTGTTTGATCCTTCAGAGAGCTGGAGTGGAATGTTTATCATGGTAAGGTGATTTAATGCTGCTGTCTTCTTGGATTGTAGGCTGCCTTTAGTTACCATTAATTATTCTTGCGTCTTATCTTTTTTTTTTTTTGGGTGCTGTTGAGAGGTTTTACAACTGGCACTCGGGAGATATGTGCTATAGTGAGAACACTTGACAGATTTAATTTTTTTTTAGTACTTTTATCATTTGCATGAATAAGGCACAAAATGCACAGATTCAGGTAAACTCACACATAATATTTACAGAATATTGTCATTACCTGCATGACTTTGGAAAAAAACAAACCTTACTTTACACAACAAAAACAAATTGATTGCACTACTGTTGAGTTTTCACAGACTGCTTCTGCCAGGCCAATTAATGTTTCTCCTTTTTTACTGACAAGAGTCTATCAGTGTGTAGGGCGTTATTAAATGCAACAAAAACGTGACCTTCTCCAGTTACACAGGCATTTGCCAAGTGAACTGACTATTAGCTGCCCTCAGCGAGGAGTACAGGGGCTCAAGTTCACAGTGGCCAGGTATTGGATGGAGGCACTGTGGAAACACAGTAAAACTCCCCCGTTCCAGCCCAAAACACTAGATTTGAAATGCACAGCTCTGAATCAATAGCAGCATAACAGAGTTATGAAGAATTAAACATATATGCACTCTTTGACTGGGTGACTCTTTCATCCAGGCGTTCCCCTCAAAAGGCTGTCAGAGATGCGCAGTTCATCCTTAGCTGGCTCCGAGCTGAACCCAGTGGGCTGCAGAAGGCAGAGTCATCTGTTTGTTCAGTCATGCTCAATGTAAACAATTCCATAGCATAAAAGATGCAATGGGAACCTAAGTACATCCTAGTGTGTACAGTACACACACACATCCACACACACGCACAGCTTTATCTGTGGCAAAAACAAAATGCCACACACATGGAGAGAAAAAAATAATGCTACAGTTGGGCCAGAGACTTAATTCCAGCAAATTGATTATTAACCCAGCTATTCATTGAGACATTACCATTTTCTGACATTTGTGCAAGAGGCAAGGTGAATGCATACATAGTAAAATGTTCACATTTAATGGGAATGACCACACTTAATGGCAGTCTAAAATGGAACCCATTTTTCAAGTATTTGCTCACTGATTTTTTCCCAACAACTGTTGTTTAGCTATTTAGAACAGTAATGTAGCCCCCACCCCATTGTGCTACATGTCTCCTTAGCTCCAAACAAAAGAAATGTAATGACCAGCACTTTCCTTTGTTTTTTTTTTTGTGTTTGCTCCTAGCAAGTACATGAAGTCTTGCTAAAGCTACATGTGGCAAGACACAGATGTTACTCAAGTAAAGACAGTTTCTTTGGCTACTTTGTTCTCCTTAGTAACAAGCAAGTCTCTGCCTTATGTGTCTACCACAACATCATTTCACAACCTGTACAGGTCAATGCCACACTCATTTTAGCACAGACATGTCCTAGTAGCTGTATTTGTTCAGTGGTCTGACTGATGTCGTCTGAGGGACGAATGAGGGTTTGGGTGGCACGTCGGGTTTTAGGGAGGGTGTCCTCTTTATTCCTGTACGAGGCAGGGTGCCATTGCTTGTGTAGCTGCTTTGTCTGGACAAGGAAGGCTGGAGGTGAACGCTGACAGGCGTCCCTTGCATGTAGTCCATCTTTGTGCCTGCTGTGGGAGCCATGTACCCCCCACGATTAATACTTGGCTGTCTGGATAACAAAACACCATTTGGTGAGTTCAAGTTTTTAGGAAGGGCAGATATTGAGTGCCTCTGTGAAGAATTTTTGTGATAACCCCTCTGCCTTTCCAAAGAGGTCATTGGTACTGCAGGAGTGGTGGGAACATCCACTCGTTTTGTGGGACTGTTCCTCGGCAGAGTCGATGGAGGAGAGTATAAAGACGCCTCCCTGTTGGGAACCTTAGGTGGGATCTCAGACATATTGCCCATTGGATCCAGCATTAAAGTCTGGTGGGCCACTTGAATATCTCCCATAATTGCTTTGGGATTATTAGTAGTTTCATTTAAGTGTTTCAGAAAATCATTCAGGGTGTTCCTGGAATCGACAGATCTCCTGTGGTCTCTTTTGCTGGATGATTTTGTAAGTGGATGATCAAGATGTTGCATCTTTTTGTCTGCCTTGTGCGCATTAGAATTTGAGAAAGACGTGTTGTAGTCATGGGTAGCATTGGGGAGAACAATGGCACTGGGAATATGTCCATGACTTAGAGGAGAGTGAGGTGGAGGACTAGAAGGAAAAAACTGAGGGCTTTTCAACGGGGTTTCCTTTCGTGAAGCATTGAGGTTACCATGCGCTTTGTCCGACTGACTTTTCATTGCCTGCAGAGTCTTCTGTTGAAGAACTGGTGTAGATTCAGGAGTTGGAAGTGCAGCTAATTCTGGAGGCTGGCCCCTATGGTCCATCATCATGGACTTGGTATCACCGTTTGGAGGCAACTCCTTTCTGCTGGTCAGCAGGTTTGTGTATAGTTTGGGTGAATCAATGTTCTGCTGATACTCCTTGACAGGACTGTCAAACAGCCCATTCAGTTTGGCAAAGCTCCCGCTGGAGTCAGTGCAGGACTGAGCCGATTCTGCATCTTTGTGTATTTTCCTGGATTTCCGTACAAATATATCCCGGTAACAGTAAACGGCCACTCCCGCAATAAAGGCTCCCAGGACAAAAGCGGCAAAGACACAAGTGATTAGGACATTCATATGTACCATTTGGTTGGACTCTCCCGACTGTACTTCCCACCTCACACCTGCAAAAGACAGGCAGGATATCATAAATCTACAGGTATTTCACACTGACATGTTTCAGAAGAAGGCAGCCTTCCTCATGGAAGTGTCTATTAAATGTTTTTAAGTGCTCTGGCTGTGCTGTTGGTGTAACTCAGTAGGATCCTGCAATTTACTCCAGTGGTGAATGCAAATAATTTTATAAAAACTATAAAATGACTGTGTGTGCACTGACAAGGCTAAATGAAAACTGCCCATTTTCTTTGACAATGAGGAAAGCTTGCTGCAGCTTCTCTCCTTATGTTTTGTTTAGCCTGTCCCCAAATTTCCTTTAAGGCTCACAAATAGAGGCCTTATGTTATTAACATTAATGATTTCTGCTGGAAAATTGAGGTTAGAAGGTCCTACTGGGCCAGACAGCAATTAATAACTCATGGATGGATTTCTCTCTTACTTTCCTGCCCAGCTCATAAATCAGTATCAAAGGAGAGACAGGATTATGCAAATGTTGTGTAAAAATGTATAATATATATACTGCATTGTTACAGCCACACTAATAGAATACAGTAGAAAACTTGTAAACTACTCCTCTCCCAGGCTGCTAGTCCTGGAGTGGCACACCTGCACTCATTATAAATGTCCAAGTTTGAAGATAATGTGATTCTCTTAGAGCACTGGTTTTTACTTTTTACCAATAATGAACATAAATACTTTCATAACATTATAAAAACAACTTAGGTTACGTTATTAGAGAATGTTAAAATTTAGAAACTTTTAGCTTAGACCAAGAAATTGAATATTTGATTAATTTTTTATTTGGGTATTAACAAGCTACCTTTGATTTTTTTAGATTTTTTTAAAGCAACCACAGACATCTTGCAGCTAAGACAATGTTAGTTTTTAATGAAAGTAATTCTGTTGCAATCCCAAGAGATGTTAAAATGAAAGACAAAGAGGGAAGGAACAGAGCCACTTTTTGTTAGAGGCAAGGCCTTTGAATATTGTTAATGTTCAGGGTTACAGGTTTTAATGGCTTTGTGCAGAAGCAGAAGGAAAACGTGAGTAAAGTTCACTAATAGCTATGACACAAAATGTGATTCAGAACCAAGAGCAGATGATAATAAAAACTTAAAGCAAAACAGAAAATAACTGCAACAAATTAAAATGACAAATGCACGGCCATAATGGCTGATAGGAAACCTGATATGTTTTGGTGAATGGTAATAAAACAGAAATGGTTTTTGGCTGGTGAGATTTTTCAGTAAATACAGAATTGTGCAAACATGTCTGTCACCTTGCTGTGCTATGCACTGAGAGAGAATTGTGTTAAATTTTGGTTATGGGATTGGAAGCTTCTCGATTCTGTGGTTGACTGCAATAGTCCTACTGAGTTTAAGTCTCAGTTGCCATAAGAGCCTAATCAAAGGTTCACTTAGCTGAAAGAATGGCTAGAGGAAGATGAACTACAGACAGAATAGGTTTCTTGTGTTCAGCTTAAAACCTCTGCATATCTCAGTATGTAGTGAGATCATCTCTAAACTGATGCTCATATCCAGAGAATAAAAATTCATCACTTTCTTAGTCTGACCCTTATCCTTCAAGAACATGTTGAAGGCAAGCAGAGGCTGGGATATGCCCCCTTAAACACATGGATCTCTCATGGAACTCTGTTTTGTGTTCTGTTTTAAACCACCACCCCCAACCTCAATGAAAAAAACCCAAAACATAAGCAAACATTCATGAGGACTAACGGTCTAAGCCAAACTAGACTGGATTGAAAACAATAAACAGAGGTGCAGATAGGTCTTGAAGGTATTTTTTAGAAGTATCCAGAACTGCCATTGACTTCAATGAAAGTTTTGGACCACTCCAGGATTAAAAGGCTGAACTTTATAAGCTCCAAGCAGCACTTTGTCCATGGGATAAGTAGGTATGAAAAACATGATTGCACTGTCTGCATATTCACAGGAAATGGGTGTAAAATACAGCCCAACAATCATGGCTGTTACATTTAAGCCTTAGACAATGCTGAGACTATCAGGTTTCCATTCAGCTGCAGTGTACTCCCTGGTAAGGCCTTACCCTTTGGGACACCTGATAATGGATCAGAATAATCAGAAGTGTTTGGGTCATCTTGAACTACAAATTTCCGAGAGCCAGTCACTTTAGGTTTCCAGGAACCAATCACTTTAGGTGATATAACTGGGATACTTGCCATTGTGGTAATGGAAGCTGAGGAGAACTCCATGTCTGTGGTGGCAAACAGATTTTTATTAATGTGTTTCATGGCACATCTAAGCTATAGCTGGACACAGTATTTTACGGGAGTTACATGTCAGAGCAAGATGTGACCCCCCTTACACTCTGCAGAAGTACAGATGGCTGATAAAAATCAATTACTTCAAAACTGAAAATATGAAAATAGTACATTTACACTTCAATAGCTGCTAGCCAAAAAGCCAGAGAAGTCAACCGTGAAAGCAGTGCAAAAGTTAAGCAAGCAACTGTGGGGGTGAAAAGCACAACGTAGTCTACTTAATTGCTATATTCTTCACTGGAGACAACATACTTGGCTGCCTTTTAAACTTCTTCTTCTTCAAAAAAAAAAAAAAGTTACTTGGAACGATACACACTCATGACAGGTTATGCCTGAGAAACCAGATCAGCTCCATTACTGCTATTATGGTATACCAGGAACTGCTGAATGAGCCATTTCTGCAGGTGGGGATAAAAGGAATGTTTTTAACCCCTATTTTGTAATGGTTCCTAAGGAACAATCCTGCACAGATTCTGGCTCCTCTGTAATACGTTTGCTGAACAGACCCACCACAGCCTACGTGAAAATGCACAGAGGAAGAAACTCATCAAATCAGGTTTACAGTTCAGTCTCATTTACACCTTTGAGTATTTTGTGTTCACTGTCCCAGTAGGTTTAGGCAGGAAGGTCTATGGCTTGAGATCAGACTTGAGAAATGTACTTTAAAAGCACACTTACTCAGGACTTGAAAATAAGGTTCAATTTTATCTGTGTCATAAAATATTACTTTGAAAATTCAGTTGATAAACACTCATAAAGTTAGGCAGCATTTCTGTGTGACAGTTTTGTTTCCTGAAGTGAGTATCTAACTTGCATTGTGGGTAAATAGATCTGGAAAATATTTGTCTCAAACATTACTTCTTGTCAAGTAACAGAAGTGAAAACGTCAGAAACCAAACCACAAATAATGTTCTTGTTGCACTCTTACAAATTTAACATACAAATAAATGATTGTCCTGTTTGTCATTCAGAAATGTGCCCTTGGTTTGGAGGCAAAGACCCAAGTTCCAAAAGCAAAGACTGGAGAATAAGGGCTGAGTCTTGCTCCTGTTGAAGTCAAGACAGGTTCTGCTCTTGAGTTCAACAGAGGAGCACTGGGTGTCCCTGAACACCAGGGGCTGATGGTGAACACATTATTAGAAAAATCACTGGAGGAGAAAAGGATGCAAAAGTCCATCTGACAACAATGCACAACACTTTTTCTAAGCCACTTTTGTCTACACAATTTCTCATTCAGCTACACAGTTTGTGATGTTAAATTTTTTTCCATTAGCATAAACTACTTAAAGCATTTCAAAAATAAAGAAATACACATTTTAGAAAATGTGTATTTGTGCAAAAAGCTTGCTGGGAAGGAAGGAAAAGAGAAAAGGAGAGGTAAGGAGGAAGATGATGAAGTTCTGCCATTCATCTACTCGAGATGACCAAGAGGGGCATTCACAAACGCATGGCTGGGGATCAAGAGTAAAGCTTAGTGGACTTCGTGCAGTGAAGATGTCATCTATGTTAATCAGGCTCTTTAATAAAAGATGTCTCAATAAATAATGAGCTGTTAACATGCGGCTACACAGGGTGAAGTGCTGAGTGAGAAGAGTCTGACTATCTTTACCATCAGTGGGAACATGAGTAAAAGCACAAAAATGGAGGATTGCCAACTGTGCAAAAGGAAGGAAAAAAGGGCTGAAAATGCTGAACTGAAGGAAAGTAAAGGTCATTAATTCAAAAAAATTAAAAAAAACTAACCAGATGTTGGGTCGCCAAATATTTTGTAATCTGGTGTAGCTGTAGTAGGCAAAATTTCTAAAAGAATTAAAGGAACAAGTAATCAGTAAAAAGTAACAAAAAGAAAGCAAAAGATCTCAAACCTGAGTAATGGAAAATAAGAACTAAAATATCACTGGTTACAAAAAATAAATTCTTCAATACTTTGTTGTAGACCCCAAATAGCTGTAAACTGGTGAAGGAAAGAGAAAAACTCTGCCACCCAGGACTAAAAAAGCTCAGCTTTGTGAACATTCACAGTAACACCAGGTGATGTGTTCATCATGTTACTGAAAAGCTCATCAGAAATTTAACATCCACAGTGAGGTGTGGCCACAGACTATGGTGAGACATTCCAAAGGAGCAGCAGTGACTGTGCCTTACCATGGCAGTCCCCAAGCTGTGCCGTGTTGCCGAATTCGACATCTTGTACGTATCCTCCAGTGCTGTGGTTGTATGAAACAAACAAAGAGAACCTGCAATTAACAGTATTAGTAAGGATACAAATGGAGATTTTTTTTTTTTTTCTGGAAGCAGCAGATGGAAACCTACACAACAGCCAGTGTGTGGCCCAAAGGATTGTACAAAATGTACAGGATAGTCCGGCTTTAAAACTATCTGTGTGTGCTTATGTCAGGAAATAGAAGAAAAACAATCCCTTTTTTTTAGTAACTACATCATGTCTTCTCCATTGGGCATGCTCCTGGGTTTAGATACAACCATCCAATTATACCAGTTAAAATTTGCACTGGCCCACTACAAAGGCCTCTTTTTAAGATACAGCTGCTAGTGCACCATATATTACAGACTTGATTTGTGCAAAACGCCTTTGGTATGCATATATAGCACCCCAGCTCCAGTGCAGAGGCACAACCTTGCTCTTCCCACTGTGAATCCTGCACTTTCATGTTTGCAATTGCCTGTGTCCTGACCATAAGCATGCCTGGGAGGGGATACTGTGTCCTGTCTTCTTGAAGCTGCTCAGGTTTGCATGCTGCAATTGCTTGCCTTCCTGCTTCCAACTGCTCTTCCTACAGGTCTGCCTGTCCTCCTACACATGCAAAACTCTCACTGAAAGCAAGTCATCACCCAGAAGTTGCAGAATAAGGCCAGACTTTAGCATTCTGTTCTCTTACATATACAGTGCACTGAAAAAAAAATCTTTAAAAAAAATAGAGATTTAGTAACTGTGCAAGGGAAGGGCATGAGCTCGTGGGGTCTGTAAAGCAGATTTAGAGATGCTGGGCTAACTTGGAAAGGAGTACTTACAGCATGCCTGGTGTCACTCTTCCACACGCCTCGTGGTCTAACCAGCCACAGTATGGGTCCCGTGAAGCAATACATGCCCTTGCAAGAGAAAAACCCCAAAAAATTATGCATTTTTTACTTCCTTCCTAAGAAATGTTGGTGCCCTTGCTTTAAGGGGGAGTTCAGGAATGGAGCCGTACTTTTTACATGACCCGTGACGCTCACACCGACTCAGGGGAATTCTAACGACGCAGCTGGAGAATGCCACGAACAGAGCATGGTGGTCTCTGTCCAGCTGGAGGGAAATGACTCTTCTGTCCTCCTCGCTTTCTGCATTACACCTGGTCAGCAAAAACAAGGGCAGGCCACTGCTTTAGTGACTGTAGTACTTTGTGCAGTAAACATTTTATTGTCTGTGTAGCTACTGAACAGATATTTTTCACATACATAAATGTAACCTACTACTCTTTGCTGAGACACTGCTAATCGAACATCTGAGTTATCAAACACTGGCTTCTGGCTCTTGCTAACAGCTAGGTGAGAAATTCGCTGAACGATGTAGGAAAAAAATCCAAATCCATTTTCTTTGTTCTCTCAGTCAGCATAAATATTGTGAGAGAGCAGAAGAGTCTTGTTTTGGAGGCCTGTAGAGTCTATTTGGAATGCTTCCACTCCCAAATTCTTTGTGCCAAAAAATAAACAAGTTTAAAATGATCAGATATAGGTTATACACTATTGGCCACTCTTGAGCAACCCTCAAGATAAGCACAGATCACTTCTTTTTAACATCACCAAATACTTCTGACGTTTCAGAAGTATTTGTGGGAGAGTTAGACTGCGTCGCTGACGTCAGTGGAGTGGAATTAGGCTGTTCATTCAACCCATGCAAAATGGCAAGTGACCAAATACTTTCAGGTTATTCCACATGAGGAACACGATGAAATGACAAACAAGTGGTGATGGTGGTGATAATGAGCTAGTTTACTATAATCTTTTTCAGCTAGGTACCAAGGACTAGATGAAGAGCTTAGATGTTCTGGTAATACTTACTTTGCATGATTATAAGCTTCAATCTCTTCCAGTAATATGCTGTCATTCAAAGAAAAAGGCCTGGTCTTTGCCAAGATTTTAAGTACTACTCCTGCTTCGGAGCCAACAAATATGACTGTGTAGTTCTGGTAGGGTCCAGCAGCGTGGTCTACAGCAATTGCTGTCAATCTGTATCTAGCAAGACCAAAAGGCACATCATTAACAGTAGGTTTTCTTGTTTTCCTTTTCACAGGTGTTACTTTTGAACTGTCATACCTGACACGTGTTTTGGTAAACCAGGGCTCCTCAGTGACTGAGGGAACAGCTGAGTCCATCAAAGGATGAGATTTGATGAAGGAGAGCGTTTCGTCTGGGAAATCAATGGAGGTTTTGTAAGCCTCTGCTAGGCCGTGTTTCGCACAGCAGCCAGGTCTGAAATGAGAACAATATTGTTTTCCTCTTGATATTTTAGTTAATGAGAGAAGGCAGCCGGTTAATGAGCAGCCTTATGGCTGAAGTGTCAGGCGCGGCTTTGGGTTTTACCCAATGAGGCACTCGAGTGCAGCTGATTTAAGGTAGCTCTTTACAGGGACAATGTTATGACATCATGAGTGAGAACCTTTTACCTTGGCTTTGGTACTTTGTCTTCAGGCACAGCTGTCCAAACAGAGTCAGGAGTCTTTTGTTCTTTAAATCTCCCTTTGAAGACTTTCTCAATGTCATCCATGCTGAAAGCACACACTGCTGAACCAGGGATGCTGTAAAATTCAAAAAATAGTTTCAAGAACTCAGATTACAATGGCACCAATCTCAGTGTAAGAAAGAATCCGAGATCTGCCTTTGATTAAAGGTTGCTCATCTCTTACCTGTTGAGCTGTGTGGTGAATACACCCACAACAGTGGGTACTCCATTGATTTCTATTATGTCTGTGATAGACTGCAGAACATCAAAGTAGAAGAATGAATCCCCAGGAACTGAGCAGTTGAGCCGAGCTTTCAGAAAGGATGTCCAGTGCTTTTCCAGGACCCTTTGGGAGCCCCCCATGTCATTTTTGCAGATGCGTGCCACACGGGAATACACAGCCTGCAAAAGGCAAAAAGAAGGAAAAGGGAGAGAGGCTTGAGAGATGCAAGGGAAAGAGTGCTTGTTTCTGAGCCCTTAATAAAACACCGAGATAATGTTGTTAACAGGAAGCTGCCATTTATCTGCAGAGAGAAGATGAAAGCAAATGGCGTTCAGCTTGGAGTGCACAGGCATCTTAATGTATCACCAAGCAAATGCATCTCCACAGTTTGCTCCCACCCTTTTCGCCTTCAAAATCATATTGTTAGTGAGATTTAAAGACTTTAATTAAAACCATGTGTAAGGGATTTAATAATTTATTGCAGAATATCCTTCCATGGTGAGGCATGAGTATTATACTCTGTACTGGCATGACTGAATTATTCAATATCCAGGGACATTAGAGAAACTTCTTTGAAACTCTCCTTTTGTGTTGTTTTCTTTTGTTTCTTTAATAAGCATGAAAACACCCTCAGCTTTTCCATTACTTGGCACAAGAGTTAAGGCAACAGCAGCACTTAGGCAACAGCACATTGAAAGACACCTGTAGCGAGCTGGTAACAGCGAGACCTGGAGAACAGATACAGCTTTTTGGTTGGAGAATGCACTGCTCTACTTCTCTTTTTCTCTGCTCCCTGTAAATTATAACCGTGATAAAACTGTGCAAGCTTTGTCCTAGTTCCTCCTTCGTATTATGAACTGTGCTAGTTCCTGATGCTGTTTTAGGATGAGCTCTTTCTGCTATGACTCAACACTCACAGTGATGATACCGACCTTGCCTAAAGTGTTGTGCTCTACAGCAATTTCTCGGAAGAAGAAATAAACATAGTTCCCATATTCTATGGCATGGAGGAAGTGTGGTTCTGTAAGAAAGAGCAAAGAGAAGTTACTTCAAAGAACTGCTCAATGGGCACACAACAGTGACACTGAGATTTGGCACCTCCTCCCCAGGTCCACACCAGCCAATGTGAGCTCCAGTCTTCCAGATACTTTAGGACGTCCAAATACAGGTGCACTGGAGTTTAAAATAAGTCTTTAGATTTGGCTAATGGACTGTGAAAAGGCCCCACAGAAATTGTATTTCAGCTAAGTTATTTTGTTACTGCAAATTCATTTTCTGAAGCATTAAACAAAAATTTGGTCTGTTTTTTTATTTTTTGCATTATGCAGCTTTTTAATACTCTGAAAGCCTCATGCTTGCTGACACTGTAGCACATGTGTAAACCAGGCTGGCTGTGAATAACCTGACCTTCTGTGTCACTGCAATTACATTTGCCATGTGTATGGGAAAATACACCCCAAATTACCTTTTATCCATTTGGAGTCATACTTTATTGTTCTTAAGGCAGATCCATCCCCCATGCTGCGATAAATAACAGCATCACTTGCCAGGAAATCTGCTACTGTTGCTGAATACAATTTTCCATCTAAAATGGAAATTGAAAACATGGTATTAAGAGGCCTTTCATAATCTAGAGAATTCTGACTAGCCTGTATTTTTCCCCATTTCTTTACTGTCACACTTCCCCAGACTGCTGTAACCTATTTATTAACAGGTCAGCTTCTAATCCATTGGAGGCCCTTTAAAAAATTTAAGAGCAGGGGCACCATGACACCTTTAGCTTTCCTGTGCTTGCTTTAAAAGCTCTCTGTCTCCTTTGGTGTCATTAATCATTTAGACTCATTACAAGTAAAAGTTCTTACCAGCAAAGAGGGCGACATTGGTTTGTCTGGCATCAAATGGGCATCTTGCCAAACCACTAATTTCCTCCCCATCATACTCTAATGTATTCAACTAGAGAAGAAAAATAAATGGGTGATAGTGTCATTTCTATTTTGTGCACTGGCACAAAAGCAAAACATTGTCTTTCCACAAAACTTAATTCAGCACATTGGCTTCTGTCTGTTTTTATTTCACCTTGAAGCACTCTCCAGGCACGCTGGATGTATTTGCTAAAAACAGTGCAAGCATAACCAGTACCAGATTAATGACATCTTCAGTACTCTTACCCGATAGTATCTGCACATAGGGTTAAATGCATTTGTTCCACAGACAAACACCATCTCATCATTTCTTGGAACAAAGACTTTAATGAAGTTATGGCATTCATCCTGAAAAGAGAATAAAATGTATTAATCACAAACTCCATGTATATAATAAATACTAGTGCCATTTTTCTATAATGTCCTAAACTTACTTTATGTTTGCCTTTCATAGCACAGTTCTCTCTGTCCTGCTGCTTTGATCTCCATGTTAATTTCTGTTAAAGCAGACCAAAAAGGAACATTTGAATTCCTCGCCACAGCAAATTCTTAAAAAAACCCCATTTAAATCAAAGAAAACACTTCTCCCTTTCCAGCACGCATCTGCTCACCTTGCTTGGGATAACTTCTGATTTTGGAACTTCATTTAAATTTACAGTGTAAACCTGGTCCCTGTTTGCAGAGAAAAAAAAACAGTAAATTTATTAATTCTGTGCCTCTTTATTTAAGTTAAATCTGCTTTCAGAATGTTATGTTAGATCAGCAACTTCTATGAAATGCTTATGGATTTTCTGTGTTTAAAGCAAATGGGAGAAGGATGTTCATGGGTAACATGGGGTGGCTTTGATTTTTATTGGTGTGGTCCTGAGATAGCACCTGCAGTGTCCAGCTGTCCATCCCTGTCTGCCCATCCTGCTGAGGACTCACCTGGGCTGTATGCAAGTGTGTTATCCTCACTTCCTACAGCCCTGATGTGTCAGTCCAAGTTTAAAATGATCAGGAGAGGTTTTTATCAGGCAGGACAGTAATATAAAAGAGGGAAAAGAGCATTTGATCATTGGTTTAAGCTTAACTACAGTAACTGCAGCCTTCAAATCCAATTTTCATGCACTGGCCATAGATATGGTACATTTCTCTGGGAAATTCTGCCCCGATTCTAATTTTTATCATATTCTGCACATTTTTCTAAATGAATTTTACACATAAATGCAAAACTAGAAGAGAAAAGAATTTTAATCTAATGAACTGAGTGAAGGAAAATTACCTGCCAGTGATATAAAGTGTGTCTCGAATTTTCAACATTAGTTGGAAGTCCAGTCTGTGCTGAGATTCATTGCCTGAAGGGCGTCCTCTAAATACTGGATATTGCCTTGAATCTGCAAGTAAAAATGGGCTACACCATCACTCAGGATTATAGAGCTAAAGAATCAATATATGGCATTGATTAGCTGTATATACTAGGTGTAGAAGGGTTTAAACTAAATTCCTTGAGTAATGTCTTGAATATAAATGAGGAAAAGATGGCTAATGTCAGCAAATGTTCTTTTTCCTGAAGTTATTGCTGTATTTCTGATTGCTTTTTTAAGAAAATGATTAAGTGTTCTATTAAAGATACAAAGCCAGTAAACACATTTCAATTTGAACGGAATCAGTTTTTTTTTTTTCTTTTTCCCCTGGGGTGGGGGGGGGTGGGGAGGGCAAAGAAAAAAATAATCAACATTAGAACTTTTTCCCTGGTGTTTAGCAGCACTTGCAGATTACTTACAGTGGTAGTCCACAACATTAATGGGGTCCTCGTCTTCGGGGAAGCTGACGGCCCGGCAGCGGGACAGGCTGAGCAGCGTCACCAAGGCACAGAGCACGGGGAGCCTCATGGCTGGGGACAGGTGACAACACTGCTCAACTACCTGCAGAACAGGGACACAGCTGTGAGGCTGCAGCAGCACAGGACACCCACACCACTCCCGCTGTGTGACACTGCCCTGCTCCAAGCTGCCCTGAAACATATTGATGTTTGCTAATTTCTAGCTGGGTTTACAGGCATTTCTGAAGAAGCTGACGAATGTCAACCCATTTAATTCACAGAATCAGAAACAAAACATACAGGCTGCTGACCTGACAAGAAAAATTGTCAAACTTGGGATTAGAATTTTAATTGAACAGCAATCCCTTTCCATCCCCTCAATCACCAAATGTCATCCAACACAAACCCTTTTTTCATACAGTACTAAACCTCATCCACAAAACGTCATGACACACACAATGTGTCTGAACATCCATGCTGTGTTTTAATGTCATTGCTTGTTTCCAGGTGTGCCTCCAGTGCTCAGCCCAACGTGCCCACTGGCACAGAACTGCTGCCCAGGAGCAGGCACCTGACGCTTTTCCTGCTGTGGTGACTTACACATGTGCAAAGTAAATGTAAAATGCTGCCCCTGCAGCGTGACAGCGTTGTCACACACTTCACAAGGGGGACAAGAGACTCAAATGGAGATGCAATGTTGAACCACCTTCCCAAGATGCCACTTTCCCCCTCATTCTATTTCCTACTGTCAAAGGCTTCAGAGGCTTTCAGCTGGGGGTTGTGTGTGTGCTCTGTAGATCACACAGCACAGATCACGATAGCACCACAACATTATACAACAAAGCTTTTAAGAGGGGAAGGGAAACATAACTTCTTCAATTAAACCACAGGGATATTTTAGTGAGCAGAATGTAACTACTCAAGTTGCAATTTGGGTAGGATGCGAGAAAACACATCTCAAAGTGAAATGTGATCCTTAATGACTGCAAGTGGACTGGGCAGGGGTCATATTTCTCATTAGAAACCTGGCAAATGTAGTATTATTCCCTCCTCCAAGCTTTTGGAGGCATTCATTCAGCCCCGACTCACAGGTCAGAGCTCTGAGTCATCAGCTCAGTGCCTTGCAGTTGCTGAAATTGGTTATTAAACGCTTTGTCTAAACAGAAAAAAAAAAGAGAAACCTTTCCATTTTAATATTTCAAGACTTTCAGTGAGAATAACATGTTGCCAACACGAAGTGCCAGACATGATCCAGCAAAGCACAAAAGTATTAATCATTTAATAATTTGAAAAGCAATTAAAAAACCCCTTCATAACAACACTTAACCTTTCAGTAATGCTTATGGGGGACAAAAATGCTGCATTTGTTAATTGATACTATGGCTGGCAAGGGGCAGGGCTTCCTCCTTCCAGAGGCTGCTGAGCTGTCAGTTTGGGCTGGACTGTGAGGAGACCAGGCTGGGAACATTTGGGGATGGGGGGTGTTGTCTGGATGCTTGCCCATTACAGACTGACCTGGAAAGAAGCATTTTCCACTGTTAATGATATTTCTGTATTTCAGTCCACCAGTCCAGAACGAATGGGCTGTGCTCTTAGTCAAGATTGATGAGTGCAGTGGTTAATAAACACTAATGATTCCTGGCACTTTCCCTCTGCTCTTCCTTGTCCTGACATGGCCTCTTCAGCTGAAGCATCTTGCGTTAAATTACTAATGAGCAAACTTAAAACAAACTGGAATTAATAAAGTTAGTCAAATTAGTTCTTTCTTGTGAAAGCACCATTAGAGCAAAGTCCTGCAGCACTGTGGCTCCCAGACACAATAACAAATCATTAATGCTTACACAATCTTTTTTTTCGGGGCTTTCTGTAAGGAAAAGCAGGCTCCAAATATCCAGCCCACTCCTTTTCCAGTGAAAGGGGAGACACATAAACTGCATGTTGAGTTGGTGCACAGTAACATATATAAGGTGCTTAGTAAAAGTCCTCCCTGAAGCCTTGTTTTCTTGGAGAACAAATGAATACAAATTGCCAAAGAGCAAGAAGCTCTCCCAGACATGTAGGCTGTAGTCAGCATAGAAGATGAAGCTGCTTGAGGCCCACATCATGACTCAAAGAGACCCTGGCCCGGCTTCAAATTGCACACAACCTGTGAACAGTACAAGTTCCACCTGTACCAAGCAGGGGCATGTCATGGGAAGTTTCTTTTTCCTTCCAGTGTTACGTCTGGGAAGAATTGACTAGGGCAACAATTACAAAACTTCCGTGTAACCTGCCTGACAGAGGCAGATACTGATTTCTGGACTCCAGGAAATGGCTGCAGAGAAAAGGGCAATTTGTTTTTGTTTTTAGGTCACAATTGTCAAAGGGCAACTTGTTTTTAGGTCATGATTATCATGGCCAATATGCAGCAAGCTGTCACAAAAGCAAACAGGAAACAACTGAAATGCCAGGTAAACAAAGTATCAGTTCTCTCAAACAGATTCAAATTTCAGGCAGGGTATCAAACGCCCTCAAAATAATGTTAAGTTTTGTAAATGCAAATCCAGATGATGTGTTTCCCCAGAGGCTGCATCCAGAGCAGAAGCAAACTCACATTTATGTCTTCCCCAAAAAACCCCTCAGACATCTCAGGATATTCCAGAGATGAACCCCAAGAACATATATGGCAGGAACAGTTATGTTCAGGAAGTTTTTCGAACTAAATATCATCTGTCACAAATCTCTATCAGAGAAAATACCAAAATGAAGCACAAACCTTTGTCACAGCAAGACAGAAAGGAGAGAGCTGCACTGGATCAGCAAACCACAGGTAATCACTTCTCACCAGCCAGGCAACAAGTACAGATTTATTATTTTGCTTGTAAAATTATTGAAAGAATATTAACAGTAGCTCTGCTTTCCAGCTACATATGAAAAGAAAATGCACCTGCTTCAAGAGGCTCTTAAATGCAGCTTTTATCTGGTTGGACACAGGCTTGAGATCAGAACCACTGAAGAGAGAATAAACTGGGAAGAACAGCTGTTTCCTGGATAATCAGAAAAATGGGCTCCATCTAGCCCTTGGAGCAGGGGTTTATGACAGCCAGGTGTAGCCTTCTGGTACACAGATAGACTGGTGTGAAAGACGTAATTCCTGCCACATTCAAACCTTTTAGTGGAGGCCACTACTGGGGACTACAAATAACAATGCTGAAATATCTGTTAGGCCTGGAATAGCTGATTACGAAATGCTGGCAATGTCTACCTTCAAGAAAATGCAGAAAACATTCATACTCTGGGTTTGATTATTTTCCCCTGCCAGGATTCAGCCCAGTCTTTGATTAATTTCTCTTACAAATTGCATTCCTAGCATTTCTGCTAGAAAACAATCCATGGCAAGTGCAATGTTTGGAAATTACCATATTGCTATCCTTGTTTTGCAGCTGGGGAATTGAGGCACAGATCAAGGCTGAATTTGTGACCAAGGCAACCACCAAAAAAGCCTTTTCAAAGGTTTTGAGCTGCTTGGTGTCAGATGTGCTCCTTCCCTGCAGCACGGGCACACTGAGCAGTGTCCCTCAGGTGAAAAGCTGGTTACAGATCAGAGCTCCCCTGGCCACGTGGCCTATGCAATAACGAGTTGTGTCTGCAAGGAGAAAGAACTAGAGGTGTAAATGTTAACTGGTGGCAAAAATCCACCTTGTTAAGGAGGTGAGCAACCTGCCTGAAACAGGCCTCAGGGAGATGCTGTTGGTCAAATGGGAGGCAGGCAGTTGTCCCAAGTAATAAACTGGCTCTTTGTGGCTGCCACCTTTCAATCTCAGATAGAAATCCCATCCTTCAATTCCTGATTGGGGGAATCCAGAGAAGCAGGATATAATTTCTGTTAAAATATGAGCCTGCCTTCAAACAATCACACATGAAGGGGAACAGGCTGGTGTTTCTTGCCCATTAATCTACTCCAGCCTTTGACAACGTGGTGGTGACGCTCCATCAATCATCTTTCCGTGCACTGCCACGTAAAATAGAAGGGGGAAGGGAAAGGGCATTCAGCCAGCTGGGGAGAAGCAACATATAAAATGGCTTCAAACCACACTGATGCAATACCTTCTACTTACTGAAAAAAAAAATAAAAAAATCTTAAAAATCTCCTTAACATGATAAACACTTCTCAAAATGCTAAGCACAGAAAGAAGTGCAGTACAGCAAATCCAGGCTCAAGTTCAAGACAGGTCAGAAAAAAAGATACTTCCTAAAAGTCAGCTCACTTGTGAAGAGTTTGGCAAGGAATGGAGGAAAGAGTTGCAATAATAAAAGCTGAGTAAATGACTACATCACCTTCCTCCTCCACCAGACTCAGGCTGTGAGGTGAGACCAAGGATCCCCTCTGTGCTTGGAAGTACAAGTTGGCCACAATGTTGAGGGGGTAAAGACAGACTTCATTAGCAATATGCTGAGCCTAGTCAATTTATGTTGATGCAGTTTCTCACAATCCCAGCTGAATGGACCTGGACAAATCAGGAAATCCCTGCTGTCCTCTGTTTCCTCCTGCATGCAAATGGCTCCCTGAGGCCATTAATTAGTGCAGAGGCACTGACTAGTGTCTTTCTCAGATGCTACTTTCTGAGATTTTGAGCGTAAAACCATGTAATAATAAAAGTTAAGCCAAAACAAAACAATCTTTTACTGCTGCCTGCTCACAGAGTTCAAGTTTCTCAGGGCCTACAGCTGAGACTTCAGCCCCTGATGCCGAGCAAAGCAAAACCCAGCAACTTCCAGTGAGCCCCTGAGACAAGCCCTGCTGGGGGACACACAATACCCTTGGACAGTGGCTTCAAGGCACTGCTCTGGCCAAGGGCTCTGTGCCTTCAAGCTCTTTAACCAGAAGAACACTCAAGCAACAAAGATATGTTGGCCAGGCTACCGCAAACAACAGATTCCACCTGCACCCAAAAAGAGACTGAATGGGAACTTAACTGTGTTTAGCCCCTCCCCCCACTTTTTTTCCCTTTGGATGCAAAGGACTAGCATAGAAAGGTTAAAAATCTTGTTTACTGCAGCCTCAGGGATTATCTTTTGCTGTACAAACCACTAATGGTCTACTAAAAGCAGTTAAAAAACACT